CCTACTGCACCCCTGTTCAATCCTACTCCTAAAAAGCCAACTTTCTATAGAGTTTAACTCCATTCTGCTTCAACACACCTGTCGGTCCTGAGGATCTTGATTAGCTTTGTTCAGGATCTGAGGTTCAGGGGCCTCATTTATAACCATTGCGTACACACAAACCTGCCCTGAAAGAGGCATAGGCCACTTCCTATGCAAAAGGTGGGATTTATAAAAACAAACTTGATGGGAAAATTTGTAGCTTACTGTACAACCGCAGCTGCACGGAGGTATCGATGTTGTGCGAAGACATCTCCACAATATTATGAAAAATACCACTGTATTTGAAGGATGCAACTTGAAGAAAATGGTAAGATTTGCACGTTTCCTTTTTAAAATACTTTGTCAGTGACGCGCCAAGGCAGACAATTGTATTTAAACTGCAATAAGCCTATCTGTTTCCATTAAAAATAGCTAAAGATGTTCACCTTATCAGCAAAACTGCATACATTTAATTTGATTTGAATTGTTTAAAACAACTGAAATACTATTTTGCCAGTGTAAAAGAATGAGATCAAATCTATCTGAGAACCGTTTAGAGACCAGGGGCCTCATTTATAACCGTTGCGTACGCACGGAAAACAGCCCTAAAAGAGGCGTACGCCACTTCCTGCGCAAAAGGTGGGATTTATAAAAACAAACTTGATGGGAAAATTTGCGCACCTGCACGCAAACTCTGACCCATGCTTACAAACTCTTTTTCCTGGAGTGAGAAAATGAATGAAGGAAACAACGATATTAAACTCTGTTTTCATGTTAATATACACATTTAGGCCTACATTAAATATTACATTTAATTTGATTTGAATTGTTTAAAACAACTGAAATACTATTTTGCCAGTGTAAAAGAATGAGATCAAATCTATCTGAGAACCATTTTAAACGGTTTTGTTTTATGGATATTTTGATATATTTATTCTAAAACATAACAAGGATATTGGATGATTCTTAGCAATAAAAATTAATGTATGGCACAAATGGCATTTATAGTCCATATCTCATATTTCCTTAATGTTTTGTACCCTTGGCGGTGTTAAACATGGTGTCATGTGGATGGGATTATGCATGGAAATGATATGCAGATGATGTTATGCATAGTAAAACTAGGTGTTGTAAGCTCCATATATGGTGATTTCTGGGAGGAGACGGGGTGGAGATGCGTGTACGCACAATCTTCCCCTGACTGGCTACTGCTGGATTCGGTGGAACGGTCTATTGTCCGGTTTGAATAGGACCAATGATAATAGCTTACTGTACAACCGCAGCTGCACGGAGGTATCGATGTTGTGCGAAGACATCTCCACAATATTATGAAAAATACCACTGTATTTGAAGGATGCAACTTGAAGAAAATGGTAAGATTTGCACGTTTCCTTTTTAAAATAATTTGTCAATG